GCAATGCTAAGATTTATTTTTTAAAACCCATACACAGGATATATACATACACAGGGCTGATTGTAAGTTATCTGAGAGAAATTATCTAGAATTGTAGGGAGGATAAACAATAGCCAATGCCTCCCTTTTAATAGAAGCCTGATGCCACCTGTAAAATAGGTCTGGAACCTCTTTCAGGCTGTGTGAAGCGTTCACGAGTTATTCTAAGGAGCGAGTGAAAAGAGAATAATTGTTCTGATCTCAGCATCATGAAATGATATCCTGGCTTTGAACACCTGTAGAGGCAAAACAAGTTTGTTCAGAAAATGTCTGAGTTGATAGAAACACAGTGGAAGGCTAATCTGTCCGAAGAGCGCCAACGCTTTCTAGAGGTTCCACCCTGTAGCCATTCCCAGAAAACTAAAGGTATACTTAATAAATGTTTTTCCTGCCATCAAAGAGAGGTCTTGTCCGTCCCTCAAAACTTCTGGATTTTGAGTGGGTTTTGGTTTTTTGTTTTTGTTTTGCCACTGAAGTCAATTTTGGAGAACATGAACTATTGATGAAGTTGGACAGTGTGGAAACTGTGTGAAAAGTTTGAATGGAAGTGTAAATTGTTTGACTGGAGTTGAGAATCGATTTTGTAAGCAATCCAGCAGGGGTCTCTTTTGAGTTGCTATAACCTTGAAAAGAATAGACAACTACAGTAAACTGTAAAAGTCAGGCAAAAGAATGGATATTTCATAAGAAGAGAAGAGGATGCAGGGAAACCCTCTAGAATAGCTATGCTCATTCAACATCCTTATTATCAATGATCATCTGAATCATCTTTATACCTTTAACCCAGTTATGGCTGTATGTGTCACTCAGAGCCTACCAGATGACAAGTCATTCAGATGAAATGTGTTTGGCTAATTTTGGTTCAGACTGTCCCTACAGGCATAGCCATGGCCTGGTGTAAGCTATTCATGAGTATCAAGCTGTATTGTTAGAAACAGGATATCTGCTATATTGCAGGGGTGTCAAACTCATGGCCTGTAGGCCGGATGTGTCACGTGCTGGCCATGCCCACTCCCAGGTTAGCAAAGGGGGGGGAAAGGTTGCGATATGTCATATTAAAATCTTTTGAGTGTTTTTGGCATCAACGCTTGTTCAGAATTTTTTTAAAAAAAATCTTGGAGATTTATGTCAATTGAGAGAAGGGTGTTATCTGGTAGTTCTGAGAATTATTAAGTGAAATGAATTATGTCTTTGTTTTTTATTATCGTTAACAGGAATTGTTTCACCATCCCACAATATTTTACAATATTGTAAAAAAAGGCTTGTAATTCTTGCAGAAATAGTGAGAGTTTTGATAGCATAATAAAACAGGATATTATGTGTACTACACACTATTACCCCATATTATATACTATTAAATGTAATTTACAATTTGTAATGTGTGATTTGATAAACCAGTCTTCCTTAACTTGGTATTTTCCTGGATTGGAGAAAGTCATTGTGGCCGAGAATTAGCGTAGCTGCTGTCTCCATTGTATCAGGCTAGAGAAATTCCCAGCAGGATTGAGATAGTAATGGAGAGCCACGCTTTATTATTATTTAAACAAAGGATACTTTATAGTTCCCTGATCAAATCAGAATCAAATTCAGTCAAATTCTTTCAGTCTAAGTTTTGACAGTGAGGAAAACAGTAGAGATAAAAGGAGAGCTCTGGGTTGTGAAAAGATCCCTACTGCTTTAAAAAAATAAAGGAATAAATGCTTTTGTCTGCACCAGAGATGTTCTTAGGGTACGGGTTAAGCAAAAATAGTCAGCCATTGTCATGAGTCTGCACATTCCTTTTTCCAATATTAAACTTTCCAACTGAAGTAGCTACTTTATCATTGTTAAGGACAGAAGATTTTAAATCCCTTTTGTATTCCTTAAGAGATAAGACTTCTGGAGCTACTTGCAGTTTTTCTACTCTTCTGGAGGTAGTCCCTATATTAATCTCTCTTTGCAAAGTTCTCTTTTACATTGAAACTGAACGTGCAGCTGGTAGGGCCGTATCTACTGGGCATCCTGGAAAGGGAGACCTATGGCCACTTTTGACCTCCAATAATTAGTGAAGGTTGCAGGTTATAAACCAGCAATGTCCAGCTTTGACAACTTTAAGGCTTGTGGACTTCATTATCCACGCTGGCTGGGGAATTCAGGGAGTTGGAAGTCCACAAGTCTTAAAGTTGCCACGGTTGGATACCTCTGTAATAAATCCTCAGAAAAGTTGCATAAGGCTCACAAAGTCAGTACAATTTATAGCCTGACCTTTACAGCCAGAATGCGGCAGTTCAGAATCCCTCACAGTGATCATGTACTGTAAGTATAGAATATTATCTCCCACAAGGTAGAACCTTATTATCTAGGATTGCTCAAAGCAAGAGGCTTCATAGGTGGAAGCTAGGCAGTCAGACTTGATTAGAAACTGGATGGAAGGCTGCTAAAAAATCCCAAGTATATAGCATAGGAAGCTGAAAATTCCTTTTGAGAGAAGGTAGTATATTTTGGTATGGTTACTGAGAAAACTTGATGAGTTCATGAAATCATTAGGGGTTAAGCTCAGCTTCATTAGTGGATCTAATGAACAAAATGATTAAGTATTCTGAAATAGAGTTTTAGGCCTTTGGCCATTGTATATTTTGAATTGCAATGGTGACTTTTCGGAAAATCTTATAATTAAATGGAAAAGAATTAAAGGCTTATATTGAAATGGGCATTTTTACTAACTGAAGTTACTCCCATTTCTGTAAATGCAAGTTTTCATTTTTAAAAGATAAGAAGGGTTGCTTTAAAAACAAGGGTCTTCAAAGTTGGCAAGTTTAAGACTTGTGAACTTTAACTCCTAGAGGTAACATGATTGGAGGAGGAATTCTGGGAGTCCACAAGTCTTAAAGCTGTCAAGTGTGAAGACCTCCACTTTAAAAGATCACTTTTGGTTTATTTTGGTTTTTTAGTCAGTTTTTCCTCTATTTCTCTATGGATAGAGAAGAAATTCTGTAGATCTCAGTTCCACAGCCCTGGGCAAATTCTGTTCTGAGACATGAAGCCAGTCTTGGACATATTTTCTGGCCTTGAAAAATGACGACCCAGGGTTTCTATGCAAAACAAGGACACTTTAGCACTCTAGAATCCAGGTCAGCAGAATTTTGGAGGGCAAGAAGGACAATGAGAGTAAATAGGGAATGAGTCAGGCAGAGGTGAGCTAGGAGATTTGAAGCACCTTACTGCAGAGGTAAGTTAATTTCTCATGTTGCATGCAGATGCTCCACAATAAATCAGGTTGTGATTACTTAACAAAGAACAACTTCAGCAAAGGCATTAAAACACAGGCCTAGAAAAGTCCAATCCCCAAGCCCAGGAATCTGGTTAGGATAAATCCTCCTTCAAACCTGTCTATTTTCCCATAACAGTTATTTCTACAATTCCTGATTCCTACACAAACCATTCATATTGCTTCTCTTCTCTCTTCTGAGAATATTAAAAGAACATTGCATTATATTAAAGGCCCATCTAGTTCACTCTTCTAGGGGCAGAGTTGCCAAGCCAATGTATCCTGAAACTTTTCAAGTAGGAGATACGGCAAAGAGCCCTTTTCTTCTGTTATCCCACAGCTGCTGTGGATTTAAGATAAATTCTTTTTCAAGACGAGGTTCACTTTCCAAACCATCTGAATGGGTGACCTTTGTTGGCACCTGCTGGCAATCAGTTCCATAGTTAGGCAGAGAAATATTTATTTTTATTGGTCCTAAATTTTCTGAGCATTGAGATTCAGTGGGAATCTCAAGTCTTTAATGCTGGGTAAGAAAGAGTTGAAGGAATGTCTCTTTTTCTCCATATTTTCCACACTGAGATATCATGCATCCTATTGTATTTTCTTTCCAAACCGCATAGTCTCAAATACTGTTTAATATTCATCTATATACAAGTTACATATATACAAGACAGGACAATCACATCTGATACCTGTACAATTAGCTCAACCCTCCCCCAAGGCTGTTTGCTTTCTCCACTTCTCTTCTCCCTGTATACCAATGACAGCATCTCAAACAATCCATCTGTTAAAATACTGAAGTTTGCAGATGACACAACAGTGATTGGTCCCATTTGAGACAATGACAAATCTGCATACAGACAGGAGGTTATACAACTTGCCTTGTGGTGTAACTGGAACAATATGGAACTGAACACACTCAAAACCATAGAAATGGTGGTAGACTTTGGAAGAAACCCTCCCATACTACCACCTCTTACAATACTAGACAACACAGTATCAACAGTAGAGACCTTCAAATTTCTAGGTTCTATTATATCACATGACCTAAAATGGATACCTAATATCAAAAAAGCACAACAAAGAATGTTCTTTCTGCGCCAACTCAAAAAGCTCAAACTACCCAAGGAGCTGCTGATCCAGTTCTACAGAGGAATGATTGAGTCTATCATCTGCACCTCTATAACTGTCTGGTTTGGTTCTGCAACCCAACAGGACAGACACAGACTTCAGAGGATAATTAGGACTGGAAAAAAAAAACAATTACTACCCACCTTCCTTCAATCGAAAAC